CTTTGGCATAATAATATGATTCAAATTGGTTTGCATATTCAAGAGAGAAGATTAGTGTTCCTACGATATCCTTAGTGTACAAGATTAGTACCTATTGATGCAATCTTAACTGAAGAAGAGTTTGTAGCCTAGAATGAGTAAATGATGATGCTGTTGTGTTTCTTTTGATTTTATTTTGCTCAGAGTGCAAAAGTTCAAGTGTGGGGGAATTTGATCAGTGAATTTTGATGCACATTCTTCCATGATTGTACTTATGCATTTCCATGGTTTGTTTAGCTTATTTTTGTATTTTATAGTGTTTTTCTATTTTAGTTTATTTCTACTCTTATTTGATTTTCGCACTTTATTTTCAGCATTAGCAGTCTGCACGAATAAATTCATAACTTGAACTACATGAGTCGGAATGAGGCGTGCTACCAGTCGTTGGAAAGCTAAGAGAAAGAGCTATGATTTTAATTCAAAAGTCAAGAGCTGAATCGGACTGTAGCATTGGCTGCGCGAAATTCCCTCACCTCCTTGGCAGTGGGGGTCCCCTCCTCGGTATGGACAACCGCCAGCTCCAATATCCTCATCATTCCTACCGCATCATGGGCAATAGTTTTCCTCTTGATCGGTTGATCCAAGTCTTCCAGATGCAGAGATTCTGCCTGTGTAACCTTCAGAGAGGGACCCCCCTCGAAATAGTTCCTTTGCAGCCAACATGGAAGCAATTCATATTTATCCAGAGACCTCTCCAAGGTCAAGTCCACGGTGTCCCCGCCAATTCGATGACCTTTCCTGGCCGAGGTTACATGCTGAGGAGAAGGATGCTCCCCGGTAGTAGCGGAGGAAGAGTTCCCTGAGCCCGACAGAGGAGGAACCATAGTGCCACCCAGGATGTTCTTCGGAATCCCAGCTTTCTTCACCTACTTCAACTTGTTAGATGTTGCCGCCTTGACCATGCGCTTCTTGGCGTTCGGAATTTTATCTCCAACGAGAAACAAGACACGTCAGTAAAACAAAGAAAACAAATAAGGAGATAATAACAACATGAAAGCTACCTAAAAGCGCTAAGGCATCCTTGTAGGTAGCACAGTCGAGGAGCCCCTTCGTGTTAATAAGTTGAGCCATGAGCACAGGCTCCAAGTCCTTGCCAAGAATGATTTCCCCGCGCTTGGTCACGCACTGAGCGGGGACAAAGTTGTCGACGGAAGCCAATAATTTGTTATAGTTGGCCCAGTCATTCTCCTCCAAGTCATCCAACGAACGATATACTCGTCGGTCTGCCAATCAAAATGGTCACGACTCCAGGAAAAACAGAACCTCTGGACTTGATGCCTCATCTACCTACCATCCTCGCTCAGCAAATATTTCCCATCGTTGTCCGTCTTAATCTTCCAGCAGAGCAAGGAGTCGATGGCCCTCTGAGATACAGGCATAACCGTATATTACATGTTCTTAAATGTTCGGATTGACTCTGAATATGCCTTGAACAATTTCCTCGACTGCTTCAAGGAAACCCAGTCGAACATACTATTTGAGGTCGTCTGCGGTTGGAGATGGAAACTAGCAAAGAACAGAGGGGACGGTGGCCCCAATCTTTAGGTAGTCACAAACGATCTAGAATTCTCGGGTGAAGGCCAACGAGTTCGAATTAAGCTGTGAGGGCGCCAGGTCCAGATGGGCAAGAACTGCCACTTGAAGTTCGGAGAAGGGCAACCGAAGCCCCATTTCTCTAAAGGAATACTCGTATACATGGAACCGACCAGTTTCAAACGGCGAGAAGATCCACTCATTCTCCCCGAGAAACACGACTTTCTACTCTTGCTCAGCATTTGACGAACTCGTTTCACCTTCTACTGCTATAAAAGCCTCATCGGAGAAGGAGGAAAAAAGCGAGGCTATCCCCCTTGGCTCAGGAGCAATCCACTCGTTCGGGTCCGAGGAGGGAGGCACTTCCCCATAAGTCTAGGTCTCCTAGACTATAATTTCATCCTCAAAATTTGTTGACATCTTCACCTGAAAAGTAGAGGACAAAAGTGAATTTGACGATCAAATCAAATCCACCATTCCACCGCTGAATCAAGTGAAAGGTGTACAAAGAAACGAGAACGATATCCTCGTCTAAAAATCCCTTACTCAAGCATCAAACGAGGACACCATAAAATCCTTCTCGGTCGACCTAAAACTTCCCTAAAGGGTAAAACCTATAAACCCTAAAGAAGAAAGCCTCCCCGACACATTAACCCGGAATTTCGTTTGAAGATTCATCGAAAACTTTATACATTCATCGGAAACTTCATGTGTCCACCGGAAAACTCATTAGTTCACAAGAAATTCATGGGTTACGACAGCGATAAGCTAAGCCCGCCGCCACGGCTACGGCCCCAGAACGGCCAAAACTACACATTCCTCTGCTCAAACTCACCCTCTCGCCAGCGATAGTGGCAGAATCGGCGTCAAACACCAACACTCGCTGGAAAAACGATCACTCTATCCAGTTTCGTCCTAACCACGTGCATCTCTAAGCAAAAATAAATATAGAACTAGCACTAAACGAAGAGAAGCAAGGAACTTACTTGGTCGGAGAGCTTGATGTTGTGGTCGAACGACTCTGCAACGGAGGTTCACGGTGGCGATGACAAATGAAAAATAAACAGAGAGCGAAATACAGAGAGAAGCAAAAGTATAAATAGACTTCATTCTACCTTATTTATAGGACGATCTCAGCGCACGTGCCCGCGCACGCATGGCCTAGGACAACGTAGGAGTCATCATTAACCCTAGCCCTTAGACTGCCATCATTGCACATTAATGATAACACATGGCTCGAGGCAGGCATGGCACGCAACCTCTCACTCTCATCAACCATTCAGTTCCTCGTGCGCTGAACACACGAGACCACGTTCGGGCTCCCGAACATGCCTGTCCCCCGGGTACATCCTAAAGCATCCTCGTCTCATATGACAAGAGCCAACGAAATTATCCACTCCTCGACGCACGAGCAATCTCTAAGTCATCACCCCTACACCCAGAAGCAATGACTTGGGGAACTTCTGTTTTGTACTGACCCAATATCTAGGTAGGGCCCAAATCACTTCTGCATGTAGGACAACCCAATAACCTTGGCCTAATGGGGCGTGAAGGATAAAGGAAAATTTATCCCCTCTGCCCCTCACCCGAGGAGCCCTGATCGACTAACCATTAGGGTATGCACAGTTACTTATGCCCGTTCAAACAGGCTACTCCTTATCCTGCCAAGCCACACGAGGATAGACACCCAAAAACGACCAGAAATTACGCTTGCCCGTAAGACACTTTTTTATCCGTTGAAACTGCTAGTTACAAGCACCTCTGCCCGTCACAACGGCTAATTCCTAGCAGTTACCTATCTTTTAGGAACCTGATATCTAGACCCAAAAATAAGAACTAATGACCTAACGTCGAAGACACTATATAAAACCTCACACTTGTGAGTACCAGGTATCGAATAATAAAAAAATAAAAATGTGACATAAATTTTTTATTTTAATATAATAATTTATATTTATTTACTAATTTACTGTTATATATATTGCTAATTTTACTCAAGACAATTGTGTACAAAGGTTTATACTTTTAAAAAATCAATAATTTTTTAAATATTTTTAACCAAGATTTGTTTTTATAAATTAGTAATTTTACCAGCGATAATGAAATTGTTGTAAAAAAATAATTTATTAATAAAGATTTAAACTAGTTCTTGCTATATGTACATAAAAAAAATTGTATTATTTTCAGCAATAATAATTATTGTTGGAGATTAGTCACAACCTCCCGTTTATTTGAGAATGTGAACAAGTTATTACAACAATCTATACTCATCATTGCAAAAATATGTATCGTTGCGATAACTTAAGGGTTTAGGGTTATAAGACTTAAATTAGTTGTTGCTATCTGTATGTTGTTGCCAACAAATTTAAAATCGTTGAGAAAAAATCGTTGCAAAATATCTTATTTGTTGTAGTTCACACAAAATACTTTCAATTCAAAGATGCATCTCTATAATTTTTCAAAGTAATTCTGTAGATACATCTCTGAACAACTTTTTGACAAATTTGAGATGGATGACTTACTTATGAAACATTGTGTGCATTTTAAATTTGTCCAAAGATGCATCTCCAAAATATAAAAAATGACAAATTTGGATTTTCAATGTATTCACCCTCATTCAGTGGGGTGAATAATGCCCTAGAGAAAAATCCCAACTGCTCAATTATAGATGACCATCATGCCAAAAATATTCATAAAAAATGGTTAATTTTGCAGCTTAAATTTGATCAAATCTCATGGATTTATAAACTGTATGCAAGTTTGTAATCTTTATTGATTTTGATGGGGATCCTTTTACTTATTATAATAAGTAATAAGATCCAAAAACCAGAAAAGTGAAATTGGATAGATTTCTTGCCAATTCAGAAGGCAACACAAAACATCTTCCCAACATCCAAACTTGAAATCCAAAAGAACAACAAATTTCAAATTGAAACAAAAAACGAGATGAATAACCAATTAGGTTTTGAAATATTTTCTTGACAACGAATAATCAAGAAACGTGAATCAAGAAATTTGGAAAATGTAGCGGAATTGATTTTTCTCAAGAAAATGTAGCGGAGTTGTGATTCAAGGAGGAAACTATGACTCTGATACCATGTTGAGAATCATGATATCATAGAAAATTGAGAAATAAGAATATACAAAATAAGTTGCAGATTCAAAGGTCGATTCTGCATGCTCCTGTAGAAGCTCTAAAATGATAACTACCATCTCTTACTACATCTGGTGGGCTAGAAACCGAAAGAGTTTTGAAGACAAACAGATTTTAAATCATCAATCGAAAAAAATGCTGAGTTACATGGAAGTTTACCAGAAAAGTTGAAGATTTCAGATGATTGTAGAAGCCATATAGCACCGAAGAATCCTATCAACCAGAGCTCAAATAATAAAGTCAATTCATCAATACAACCCAATTTAACAACATTTTATACATTCGATATCTTTTCCTCTTCGAAAGATGATCCACTCTGAATGATGGAATCCCAATAATTATCATCCCATTCATCTCTATACATTTCCTTCATTTCGACAAAATTCTTAAAACATGCCATCAACATATTCTCCCTCCAATCTTCCAACGGAGGCAACCCAATCTCTGCCACTAACCATTGTTTGTAGTCAGCCTGACAGAGTGATTGTAAAGGGTCAGTCAAAGGTGATTAATAATTTTATAATAACTTTTATTGTTATCGACTGCGATGTGACGCGCTTTAACGAATATGAGATCTTCCATGTTCATCATCATCAAGATTACCATATCGTCGATAAAAATTAGGTTTCATAGTTTGAAGGATGTATTGCTCATACCTGAAAGGGACGAAGTGAATGAGTGTGACGTTTTGGCAACGCATTTTCCTCGATGAATTGATAAAGTTTTTGAACAGACTCCGTCATCTCTTCTTCCGTCGGTAAAAGAATCTTGCCAGATAAAACTCTTGCAACCCACTTGGCTTGTAACTCAATTACATTGAAGATTGTTTCCTGGCAACGGCAAGTTAATTATAATCAACTTTAATTATTTCAATAAACTATATAAAACTAAAAATAAATCTCGATTAAAATAAATTGTATTAACTCTATATGTTAAACCAATGAAAGAGAGGCATGGAGCCAGTGAAGGAGGGAAAACGTGTTTGTATAGTGGGCCAACGCGATTATCTTCAATGGTTACTATTCCATTGGTTTCTAGGAAAGGAATGTGGTATTTGTACCTGTCACATTATTAACTTATATACCTCAAGATAATTAATTAAGTATAAGTTAAAATGTTAGCAGATGAAATAGCAAATATGTGAAGCCAATGCAATGCAGGTTGGTTTAGTTGGTAAAGACAAGAATCAGGATGCGAAGACATTGTTAAGACGGACTTGAACCCAACTCACTTAAACTTTTTGGAATTATGAAAAGAAAATGTGAGAAACCCTAAGTACCCTGTGCAGTGAATTATGGCATCTGCATAAGTAGAGAATCCATCTTCAAAGGTAACCAAGCCATCTTCATGTACATATTCTATCTAAAAAAAGAATGAGAATGAGAATTGTCATCAATTAGAGACAATCATATAAAAGCATAGATAAGAAAAATGAACTTACCAAAGAATGGAAAGATATATTGGCAACAGTTTGGAAGTTGATATCCTTCAATAGTGGATTTGGTTTAGTGGCGACATGAAGTTCCTTTGCCACATGTGCAATATCTCTTGAGATGTCAAATGAACTAGGTCCTAGCCCAATTAAAATCACAACCTATTATTATTATTAAGGGAGAATAAATCAATTAACTTTCCAAAATAATTAAAAGCATTAAAAGCATATTTGGGAGTATGAAAATTGTTGTACCTGATCTTTGAAAGAATGAGGCACTCTATAATTATGAGAATGCATTTGAAACCTCCGCCAGTTTTCAATTCCAGGAACCACACCAAGTTTCGGTTCTACAAAATGACCCGAACACACAACAACCGCTTCAAACACTTCATGACTCACCGAGTCACTTCCCCGAGTAAGCCTCGACTCAACCACCCACTCCTTCCCTTTCCCTTTCTCTTTCCCTTTCCTCTCAACCTTCACTACCTCCGTTTCAAATCGGGTCAACCCATAAATCCCAAACTCACCCGCAAAATCCTCCAGAAAACGGACCACTTCCTCGTGACCCGGGAAGCTTCTCGGGTCACCGGATTCTCGCTTGCCGAAAGGGTAGTCCAAAAATCCCATCACTTGCCTTGGAAGATTCGTACGGAGAGACTGGTACAGGCTGCTGTGAATGATTTCTCGGGTCGGCTCTATGCTGAGAGGATCGGAATCTGTTTTTGGGTCGTAAACCCATGTTCCTCCGACGCGGTTGTTCTTCTCGAAAATCACGACGGTGTGCCCTTGCTCTTGAAGCTCCTTGGCGGCTATGAGGCCGGACACGCCGGCTCCGATCACTGCAACTTTGACCGATCGATGAGCCATTTAGATTAGTTGAAAAAAAGTAAAACGATGAGAGGGAATGTAAGCTCGAAAGCTGGAATATGGTTTTCAAGTTATTTCAAGAAGGAGATCATGTATTTTTTAGAGTAACTTTGATGATCGTTGTTGGATGCGCTTTGAAATTGAGAAAGCTTATTCTTCGATTTATCGGTCCATATCATATTTCTGAGAAGGTGAGAAGTGTTGCGTATAAGGTGGCTTTGCCACCAAACATGTCGAATTTGTATGACGTGTCCATGTTTCGCAACTCCGAAAGTACATTTCAAATCTATCGCGTGTGATACTGATGGATGATGTGCAAGTGCGGGATAATTTTGAAGGTGTGAAAAACACAAGATAGAGGGCGTTTAAATTGAAATTTTAAAACAAAAACTTTTTTTTATAAAAATATTGCTCTTTAAGTTAAAATCATTTTTCCTTCACTCTTGATAATAACAATAAGTAAGAACATGAAATAAGAAAACAATGTATGTTTATACTAGTTTACTTGAAAATTATCAAGCTAGTCTAGTCCACCAGTCAAGGTGATTTCACCTCACTCAACTGAAGACTTAATTCACTATAATCAAACTGATTATAATTTGCACAAGCTACCCGCAAGTGACTAACAACCTCTAAGACTCACAAGTCCTAGACTTCTTAAGGATACAGACCTACCGGTCCCTTAAGGAATATCAAACAATAATCAACCTAATTATTACAATGCAAAAGCTACTCCATAACTGACTAACAACCTCTAAAACTCGCAAGTCCTTGACTTCTTATGGATACAAACCTACCCGGTCCCTTAAGGAAAATCAAACAATCGTTTGAATACAAGTTTTGTTTACAAGAGCATTGCTTCTACACATGCTGAATATGTAAATTATTTTAAGAACAATGACTAAAGAATATGAAAGCTATGAACAACATTTGTGCATGAATATTTCTTTGATTAACTGCTTTCTCTCTTATACTTCAAGCCTTTATATAGCCAATAAAATAATATATTCGTTGAGGGATACTCTTGGGATTTCCAAAAACATTGGCAGCTTGAACAATAACGTGGAGGACAAGACCGTGTGACTTGTCTGTCCTTTCATGGTAGTGAAATGAAACGTTGATTGTACCATGTACTATTTGTACCACGTTAACATTATCTTCTTTCCTTCTACACTTCAGAGGCTTCTGCGAGTATGAGTTTAGAAGCAGGAATATAACATAAGGTCATCAAAACTTCAAATCTTCAGAATCTTCAGAACTGTGTCTTCAGAGTCTTCAGCACTTGGTTGTGAGAACCTTTTCTTGAAACCTTGGATCTTTATAACTTCAAGTCTTTAGAATCTTCATAACTTCTGTGTTTAGAGTCTTCAACACTTGGTCTTTAGAACCTTTATCTTTAGAAACACGAGTCTTCAACATCTGAACTAAAGTAGAAACTTCTGTCTTCAGATCTTATAACTAGTTTATTTAGATAAACATCAGAGCTTACACTTCAGAGCCTTCTGAAGTGTCTTGCTACTGTTCAACATAACTTGTGTAGCACAGAAGCGGAATTAATTCTCTTCTAATGTCTTGGCCACGCCATCCATCAGAAGTAGAACTTGTTTGTTAAGTACTCAACAATAACAAACATTAGAGTATCAAAATTGTTCATACAAACACACTCATTTGTTATCATCAAAACTCAGATAATATTGCAGAACCAAATCTCGTTCTTACAATCTCTCCCTTTTTGATGATGACAAAACTATGTATTTTAATGACAATTTTGTTCTTATAATCAGAAAAAGTCAAAATAGAAAGGTAAGGAATACTTATCATTTTTATGATACTTCCCCTGAGTCAATGCCTTGATGAAGATCGAATATCTTGACTCTGAACCATTTGAGTAACACTTCCCTTGGTTCCAATAGATCATATATCGAGATCTTGAGAGTCTTGACTCTGGATGCCAATGGAAATATTGAGATCTTGTTGCCAATAGAATAATTGAGATCTTGATTTCTTAGAACTTCTTCTTATTGAATCTTGACTTTAGATGCCAATGAGAATGAAATTAAATTGAAATCTTTGAAACTTTAATGTCACTAAGAGAGCTTCCAGATTCTCAATTATTGGAGTCTGATTCTAGATTTCACTTCTTGGAGTCCGATTATGAATTGAAAAACGTCTTCACAGTCTGAAGCCAATAGAAGTTTGAAGCCAACAAGTTAGATATAATGCTTTCTGGTCTTCTTTAGTCAGAGTTCTCATTTCCTGAAAAAGAAAAATAATTCTAACAAAAACAGAATTTTAATTGGGTTAGAATGTAAGTAGCTCTTTTCAGAGAATATTTTCCAGAACTAGATTATTAAATCAAAATTACATCCATTTAATTACTCCCCCTTTTTGTCATAATCAAAAAGGTAATTATGTGTGAAAAACATAAAAACCAGAAGAAACAACAAGAAAAGATAAGAAGTTTCATTGATATTCGAAGGAGATTACAACAAAATGAACATAGACAGAGAAAGTTATCTAAACTTCAAACACAACACAACTCTCATCAAATAGAGCATTGCCTCTGATGAACGAATTTCTTTGAACAGTTTCAATTATACATGCTAACTCAAACAATTCTTACAATACACGTCCATACAAAATGAATAATTTTTGACAGTTCCTGGATGGTCGAGAAGATTTTCATCTCCTTGAAAGGTTCTAACAACCATGCATGAAGACAAGCTTGAGGAGAAGAGACAGTTGAAGATGATACAAGGATAAGGACTGGATGCATGACTATAGATGAGAAGAGATATAAATAGTCAGTCAAGTAGTTCATGAAGTAAGACGATTGAAGCACTCAATGACGTCATTGACTGCTAAAAGAAGGAAATTAAAGAAGAAGTAGATCAAATGTTAACGTGAAAGAACACGAAAACATTTAATTGGAACTCGACAGGGAATATTAGACAAAGGCATAAAAGTATGATATAAATGAATGTTCCCAAGACATAGTGGAGAGGAGTAGTTAATAAATGTAATCATGATTAATCAATTTCAAGAAACAATAATTGCTCGTGTATAACCTAGATAGAGTGTTATAGACACTAAGTCTATTTAGGTAATGCGTTTGATATTCTCAACATCTGGAAAAGCACGAAGATTTCCATCTGATTAGGGACATTTCTGATCGAAACATCTTCTGTTGACTGAGATAAAATAAATTAGAAGTCTTTTGATTAAGTCAGAATCTTATTCCTTCAGACTACGACTAAAACACATTTGATTCTAATGACATCTTACTTTGGACAGAGATCCATTTTCAGATTCTTTACAATAAACAAAAATCTATATTCAGCTAAGAGTTTTGTAAAAATATCAGCCCATTGATGGACTGTATCTATAAATTTTAACGATAGGATCCGTTTCTAAACATAATCTCTAATAAAATGATGTTTGATTTATATGTGTTTAGCCTTACAGTGTAGGATAGGATTCTTACTCAAGCAAATAGCGAAAATATTCACAGAAGATAAGAATGTTACTCTCATATATATGGTAATCTTCCAACTGATTTTCATCCATAGCATCTGAGTACTGCACAATGCTGCTAATATGTACTATGCTTCTGTTGTTGAAAGAGAAATTGTTGATTGCCTATTGCTTGAGCATGAGATCAGATTCTTACCTAGAAATTGACAATTTCCAGAAGTACTTTTCCTCTCCAGTCGATCTACAACGTAGTCTGCATCATAGAAACCACAAAGAGAATACTCTGATGTTTTCTCATACATCAAGCCAAGGTTAGGGATTCCTTTTAAATACCTTAGAATCCTCTTAACATCAGTTAAATGAGATTCCCTAGGATCAGATTGGAATCTAGCACAAAGATGGACACTAAATAAAATATCAGGTCTAGATGCAGTCAGATACAAAAGAGAGTCAATCATACCACGATAGAGCTTCTGACATACCTTTCCATTTACCTCTTCTTTCCTCAGAATACATGTTAAATGCATTAGAGTCTTTTCTACAATGCAGTCTGTCATGTTGAATTTCTTCAAAAGTTCTTTAGTGTACTTACTTTGATGAATGTAAGTAGCCCCTAGTTTTTGATCAATCTGGATTCTCAGGAAGAACTTCAATTCCCCCATCATGCTCATTTAAAATTCATCTTTCATTAACTTAGAGAATTCCTCGCATATGGGTTAGCTGAATCAACAATAATATCATCAACATAAATTTGAACAATTAGAATATCATTTTTGAATGTTTTGCAGAAGAGTGTAGTGTCAACCTTTCCTCTGGTAAACTTATTTTCTAAAAGAAATTGCTTAATCTGTCATACCAAGATCTGGAAGCTTGTTTCAAGCCATAAAGAGATTTCTTTAGTTTAATAACAAGGTCTGATTTCTCAGAGTTTTCAAAGCCAGGAGGTTTGACATACATTTCTTCTGAAATATAACCATTCAGAAATGAACTCTTAACATCCACCTGATAAAGGATGATGTTATGATTTATAGAAAAAGAAACTAACAACCGAATAACTTCTAACTTGGAGACTGGTGCAAAGGTTTCTGTATAGTCTATTCATTCTTGTTGACTATAACTTTGTACAACCAGTCATACTTTATTTCTGACAACTTCACCCTTCTCATTGAGCTTGTTTCTAAACACCCATCTGGTTCCAATGACGTGGACACCTTTAGGTTTCTGAACAAGATTCCATACATCATTCTTTGAGAATTAGTTCAGTTCTTCTTCCATAGCCAGAATCCAATCCTTATCTATAAGGGCTTCCTCAATAGATGTAGGTTCTATTAAATAAACTAAACCCACAAGCACTTCATTAGAAGGTTTGAGAGCCAATCTTGTTCTAACTGGAGCATCTTTACTTACAAGAATGAGATCTTTAGGATGAGAGGATATGATTATGTTCTTCCTTGGTTGAGGTTGATTAGAAAGACTATCAACAACATCAGAAGAAGGAGCTTCTGATTCTTTATCTTCTTGAATCTTCTCCTTTGGTTCAGTAAACGTGTAGTCACACCCGTAAGCTTTTCACACAACTTTGATTTTTCATAGTCAAGCTTACCATCATATTTGACATGAATTAATTCCTCCACAATTTTTGATTCCGTGTTATAGATTCTGAAGCCTTTAGAGCATTCAGAGTATCCTAATAGAAGACACTTTTGTGCCTTGGAATCAAACTTACCCAGATTCTCTTTAGTGGTTAACATATAACAAGTACATCCAAATGGATGGAAATAGAAAATGTTGGGCTTTCTATTCTTCCACAATTCATAAGGAGTCTTACTCAAAATAGGTCTTATGGAGATTCTATTTTGAATATAACACGTTGTATTCACTGCTTCTGCCTAGAAGTGCTTAGCCATCTGAGTTTCTTGAATCAAGGTGCGAGCCATTTCTTGTCGTGTTCTATTTTTCCTTTCTACAACCCCATTTTATTGTGGAGTTCTAGGACAAGAAAAATCATGTAATATGCCATTTGAATCAAAAAGTTTTTCCAAATTTTTATTTTCAAATTCTCTGCCATGATCACTTCGAACTCTGACTATTTTGCAATCTTTTTCATTTTGTACTTGGGAACAGAAGGAAGTAAATACAAAGAATGACTCATCCTTGTGTTTCAAGAATTTTATCCATGTCCATCTGCTATAATCATCAATGATGACAAGTCTATATTTCTTACCATTGATAGAAGCAGTGTTCACTAGTTCAAATAAGTCAATATGAAGAAGTTCTAATGGCCTAGAAGTAAAAACAATCTTTTTAGCTTCGAAAGAGGTTTTTGAAAATTTGCCTTTCTGACAAGCTTTCAAAAGGGCATCTGAAGTATACTTCAGATTGGGCAAGCCTCTGACTAATCCAAGTTTATTTAGTTGATAAATCTTTCTCAAGCTAACATGACCCAGACGTTGATGCCAGACCCATTTCTCTTCTTGAACAGTCAGAAGACATTTTACATTTTGATTTTTCAAATATGGTAATATTATTTTGTAAATATTGTTCTTCCTCTTGTCATTGAACATAACTGAGCCATCCTTCTGACTAATAGCTTTACAAGATGATTGATTAAAAATAACGTCATAATCATTGTCACTAAGTTGATTCATTAACAATAAGCTATGAATCAGACCCTCGACTAAAGTAACATTGTTAATATAAGGGAATTTACCATTACCAATTGTTCCAGAGCCAATTATTTTTCTCTTCTGATTGCCTCTGAACCCAACAATGCCTCAAGACTTAAGTTCCAAATCTTAGAACATAGGGCTTTCGCCCGTCATGTGTTACGAGCATCCACTGCCTAGGTACCAGACTAGTGTTTCAATGGCGCCATCAAGGAAATATGCAATGTAGATTATCTGATCCTTAGGTACCTATTTTTGGGTCCTCTTTTGTTAGAAGTTCCAGAGGTTCTAACACCTTTGAACTTTTGTGCAACAGGATAATTATGTGAAATTTGTGCATGATACTTTGGTTTAAAAGTTTCATTTTGTGTCTGTGTTTATGCTACATTAGTATTAGAACCTTCTAGTTCTGTACATTTAAAATTTGTGCCAGCAAGCACAAAATGTTCAAAAAGAGGTTTTTGTTTGACATTCAGATTCTCATCAATTTTCTTTGATGGTCCTGAATATCCCAAGCCTCTACTTCCATTTCTACTAACACCATAGATCATTGAAGATATTTTGCTTCTATTATGCTTTTAACAAGAAAGTTTGAAAAGCTCTATCATATCTGATTACTTCGTCAGTAACAGATGTGTTAGAGAAAATATCTTCTTCTAATCTAGACATTTTACTTTTCGGAGCGATGCTTGATTTTTCTAAAACAAATAGTTTTCATTTAAGTCAAAAATATTTTTCTCATCTATAGTAGTGTTCACAGAAGTAGATACAAAACTCTTTTTCAAGATTTTGTGTTTACTTAGAAGAGACTGATACCTTGTTATTAATTCAGATAAACCGATTTCAAATTCAGAGCGAGATAAGGAAGAAAGTACCTATTTGCTGTCATCAGAGTATGACTCATTATCAAGTTCCAGTTCGTCTTCTGATGATGCTTCTCCCTTGCCAGTCCTGGCCATGAATGACATATTTGCATGCTCTTCATCAGAATCTTCATCTTCTGATTTTGAATCATTCCATGTTGCCATGAGACCCTTCTTAGCTTTGTAAGTCTTTTTAAGCTTCTTGTCTTTCTTGAGCTTTGGACAATCATTTTTGTAATGTCCAAGCTCATTGCATTCAAAGCAAGTAACTTCTTTTCCAGAAGTATTCCTCTGACCGGAAGTGGATTCACCTCTTTCGTATGTCCTTCGTTGACCTCTGAACTTGTTTTGTCTGTTCTTCCAGATCTGACTTATTCTTTTGGATATCAGAGAGAGTTCATCATCATCTGAATCTTCTTCAGATTCTTCTAATTCTTCCTTAGCTTAACAAGCCTTGGTTTTCCCAGAAGTAGACTTTAGAGCAACTAATTTTACCCTCTTCTGAGGTTCATCTTATTCCAGCTCTATTTCATGACTTCTTAAAGAGCTAATCAGCTCCTCAAGAGAGGTGTTGTTCAAATCCTTTGGCAATTATAAAGCAGTTACCATTGGTCTCCATTTTACAGGCAGATTTCTAATAATATTTTTAACATGATCTACAGTGGAGTAACCTTTATTTAGAACCTTAAGTCCCGCCACAAGAGTCTAAAATCTTGAAAACATCGTTTTCAGAGATTCGTTATCTTTCATCTTGAAGGCTTCATATTTTTGAATTAAGGTCAGGACCTTTGTTTCTTTTACTTGTGTGTTGCCTTCACGTGTCATCTGAAGAGAATCCGAGATAAACTTTGAAGTTTCTCTATCTGTAATTTTCTCATATTCATTATATGAAATAACACTTAGAAAAATGGTTCTTGCTTTGTAATGATTTCTACATACTTTCTTCTATGCTTCTGTCATTGCACTTCTTGCAATCTTATGACCTTTATCGTCTACTGGGTGAGTGTAACCATCAACTACCAAGTCCCATAGATCCAAGTCATATGCTAGAAAGTAACTTTCTATTCTATCCTTCCAATTGTCAAATTTCTCCCCATCAAACATATGAGGTTTTGAACTATAGTGATCTCTATCATTATCCCTATTATCAACAGTGGAAGTAGGCGTAGCCATTGGTTTTTCACATGCACTAGGTCAGTAATGACACTGTTAAGTGTTTATTAAAATTCAAACTTTTTTTCTCCTCAGAACCGGAGCTCTGATGTCAATTGAAGGTGTGAAAAACACAAGGGGGGTTGAATTGGGTTTTTAAAACAAAAATTTTTCTTTAAAAATATTCCCTTTTAAGTTAAAGTCATTTTTCGTTCACTCTTAATAATAACAATGAGTAAGAAAGGAAGTAAAGAACAATGTATGTTTATACTAGTTCACTTGAAAATTATCAAGTTAGTCTAGTTCATTCGTCAAGGTGATTTCTCCTAACTCAATCGAAAACTTAATTCATTATAACCAAAATTATTACAATTTGCACAAATTACCTGCAAATGACTAATAACCTCTAAGATTTGCAAGTCCTAGACTGCTAAAGATGCAAATCTATCTGATCTCTTAGTTTTGTTATTATTATTATTATTATTATTATTATATTATTATTATTATTATGTTTATTATGGTGTCAAAAATAGAAATTGAAAAAGATGCAAATAAGAGACCACAAGAAGTTCATTTCATAGTCTACACTTCAACTCATCTTGACTCTCATCCAAACATATCAAAGGCCTCAATTCCTCTTCACATAATGGCACGGATCATCAAATATTATCCCTCCAAACTTCATCAAAATTTCATCAAAAAAATACAAATTCTCCCTCTCAAATTTTATCTCATTCACCTATAAATACAATCTTAAAATCACAAAGACATGGGGGAGAAATTAGAGGAGAAAACTCAGATCCAGAAGCACCAACAACAACTCAGTAACAACTCAATACAATTCCCGCTTAAAATTTTAGAAGAAGGAAAAGAAGAGTAAAAGTAACAAAAAGAATTATTAACTCATCTCTATTTTTCTGTACTTTATCTTCCTCAAGCTACAAATCCAGGTTCTGTTTTCTCTTATTTCTCTGCATATTACCATGTGGTTTTGTTGATTGTTTTTGTGTGAGAATGAATTGAAATCACGGAAGCCATGGTTGTTGTTGTTTGTTTTTTGAATTATATGCTTGTTATTGCTTCAATCAATTTTGTTATTGTTGTTCATGAGAACCGAAATCAGATTGTGTTGTTATTATTATCGCTTAAATTGAAAAATAGAGTGAAGGATTTATTGTTATTGCGAAATAGAAAGACGGAGCGTGAGAATTATGGAAACAATTGAAGTGAACTGAGAGAAGCGATTCAATAAAAGAGAAAGAGATATGAAGGAGTGAGGTCTGAAAAAAAATAGAGGAAGCTTTTGGAGGAGTTATGCGGCTATCTCATTCTTAGATTTAGGGTTTTTGTGTTTTCAAATTGCAATTAGGCCTCTGACCCACCACAACCTAGCTTAGTTCCATTTTTTTACACCCTGCTTGCAATCCTTAGGCTCAGTTCGAAAGTTACATCTTTACACTCTCCTCCTGTTTTACTGTTTGAAGCCCAATTTCATTTACTTTTATTATTTCTATTTGTTTTTATTATTTTTGTTTTGTTAATTGCTAATGTTATTAATTGGTCTTATTTAATTGAATTAATATTTATCAATTAGTTTTATTAAATATTTTTAATTAATTTAATTAATTTTTGTTTATGTTATTTAATCATTTAATCGTCTAAATTGTTATTTGATTTTATCTTTGCACATTTTGATAGCTTTTAGTTAATTAATCAAATATTGATATTAGTTACTTTGATTTGGTTATTAAAAAATTAATTAGTTTTTCTTAACTTAATTAATTAATTTTATCAATTTTTGATTAATTAATTAAACATTTACTTCATACTTCATCCATTCATTTAGCTTTGTTACATGTTCCTAATCCACTTTGGCTTGAGTTTTTATTTCATTAGACCTTTAAATTATTTCTCTATGATCCTGGTTTTGTCCGTTTGTTGGGAGTTTCAACTGATGCATGGATTCTTATTCGATATCATGATAATCATCTGATGCTTTGAGCCTTATATGATACCCTGGGTTTACCTGATGCATCCTCCGCTTGTGATTTATTTTTATCTGACGCGTTCTCTGCTTGTGATTTATTTTCATATCATGTCTGGTATACTCTTGGTTTATTGTCTTCTTGTTATTTTAATCCAAAGGGATAAGAATGTTGTATTGACTTCTTTATGTCAAATATTGGCTTCTTGTTTGGTCAGACATTTCTTCCCTATCTTTTACTTTCTTGTACATAGGATAGTCTCTTCATCTCCTTCCATCATTCAATTTTTAAAAACTTTCTCATATTTTTCAAAACCTTCTTGTTTTTCTATCTCGAATCGCTTTCATAATAAAGTTTGACTTTGTCAAGTGACTTTTTCAAGCTTCTTTTCTGTAGCAAATCTAAAAAACACATAACAATAAAGAGGCGAACCATATGTCATGAGCCTTAAGTATTGGGAGAAGTATAAGGCAGTACAGCCCGAACCTTGTGCTTCCTTTCAATCATAGTCTTTAATGTGGTTCAAATCTCAAACTCTTTTGCAAATAAGAGGAGAAGTACTAAGTGTCCCTCCAGTGGGATCCATTTGCTATTATCCCAACAAAAACACCAAACCTTTTTGTGCCCTCGTGCACCTTGTCTCCTTTTAAACTTTTTCAAGATTAGACATGAGTCATTTATACTCGAGATGTCATTTCTCTATCATCATGGTTGTAAAAACACCAACATTTCCACTTGAGTACTAGAGGTGTGTCTAAACCCTCTCTCATGCTGGTGCGTTGTCCCTCTTTCTCATACTTTGTAGGCAACTAGTCGAGTCTTATCCCTAAAAATAACGACTTATCTCTTCATTTAAAAAACAACCAACAAAGAAACATTTTGAGAAGAACTACGATGCTCTAATTCTTTCGGAATACATAGGCACGAGGTTTCGGATCGAGGCGAGCAAGATAAATTTTTTTGTTTTTAATAATTTATTCATGTACTCCCTTTAGAAAGCAAGTCTTTAGATACACACACTCTTTGATTAGAACAAACATAATGGATCATGCAGAGTACTGTAGATATTTAGGGTTCAAGTATCTTCCCTTTGCATAACCGCCCCCCGTACCTTGATCTCTTTTCTCTTTGGGTTTTATTCTCTCTTTTCCCTTTTCCCTTTGGAAAAAAATAAAGTGCGGTGGCGACTTTCACTATGTGATTAAGTCAATTAATAGCTTAGTCTCAAATTTTTACTGCCACATGATTTCAAGCACTTCTAATCATCCTCTGATGGACGGTTAGACCGAAAGAATGATTCAGACTTTGGAAGATATGCTAAGGGCATGTGGGCTTGAAAGTGAAGGAAATTGGAAAGATCATTTACCTTTGATTGAGTTTGCATACAATAATAGTTATCATGCAAGCATCAATATGACTTTGTATGAAGCTCTTTATGGAAGAATGTGTATAACACCCCTTTGTTAGGATGAGGTTGGTGAGAAAGGAATTTTAGGACTAGAAATCATTCAAGAGACCATTGATAAGATCAAAATGATTCAAGAGAAAATTAATAAAGAACAAGACTGTCATAAGAGTTATGTGGATAATAGATATAGATCGTTAGAGTTTGAAGAAGGTGACCATGTATTTTTGAAAGTTACTCCAAGGTTAAGATTAAAAAGACCTTTTAAGCCAAGAAAGTTCAGCCCAAGGTACGTTAGAACTTACCAGATAATTAGAAGGAACAGTGAAGTAGCTTACCGTTTGGCCTTGACAACGTCACTCTCTAGTTTGCATGATGTGTTCCATGTGTCTCAGCTTCCAAGATTCATTCCTGATTCTCTTCAGCCTATTCTTCCTAATACTATTAAAGTAGAAGCATAACTTTCTTTTAAGCCCCAAATAAGTCGAGTTATGGATCGCACGACAAGGGTATTAGGGAATAAGGAGATTCTTATCTTCAATGTTCTTTGGGAGGGATCACACCTAGGAGAAGCTACTTGGGAGCTAGAGTCCAATATGCGAGGAGCTTATCCTTATATATTTTAGGTAATATTTTAAAATCTGAGGACAAAATTTTATTTTAAGGGGGGAGAAGTGTAATTACGAACTGCGCCTAAGAGGGGGGGGGGGGGGGGGGGGGGGGGGTGAATTAGGTACTTTAAAAATTCTGGTTTTTAGTGATGATGATTCTTATTATGGTTCTTATTTTTCTGGTTAAAAGTGAGTTTAGGAAAGCTTAAAAATGCAGAAAAATAAAGAGACACGGGCAAATATCCTGGTTCCCCTCACAGTCCGAGAGTACTCCAGTCCCGTTTCAACATGAAAGAGATTTCCTTATTGTGGAAAACTTAAACAAGAACTACCAAACAACCAAGAACAATCCTCTTGGACCAAGAACAATCCTCTTGGATTTTCACTAAGTTATCTATGAGAACAATCCTCTTAAAGTAACTACACTTGTATCCAACAACTTTGGAAAGACAAGATTTCAAAAAAACACTTAAACTTATTTCCAACAATCTTGGAAAAATAAATAAGTAAATATCAATTTTTGAGTTTGAGTGAGTAGAGTAATATTGATCACTTAGAGTGATTTAACAATGTATGATCTTCTCTTCCAATAATACTATTGTACAATGACTCAATATATATTTGCTCAAAGTTTTCTGCTTGTTAATGTATGAAAATGTGCAGAAAACTTATGCATGAAGATGAAGGAATGCTTGAGTTTGTATTTTAAAATTTCAGAAAATATTTATGGAAGAGGTGTTGAAATAGATTTTGAAATTGAATATTTATATGTTCATAACACCCTTTTGAAACAACATGAAGTTCTGAAAATGTATCATGAACAAATGCCAAGATTGAGTGAAAAGATTCAATGAAAAGGCATGATGAACAAGCATGTACAAAGCTGCTGTTTTTCAAAATCGTGCAGCATGAAATCGATTACACCCTTTGTGTAAATCGATTGCATAAGGTTTCAACAGCTCTTTTTTCAAAACTTTTAAGAGTGCAATCGATTGCACTATCAATGCAAATCGATTGCATGCAAAGTCAGTAGCAAAAAGTAAGTGAGTGCAATCGATTGCACTAGCAATGTAAATCGATTGCACTGAGAAACAGAAGCAAACATTTTGAAAATATAAGTATGCAATCGATTGCACAAGCAATGTAAATCGATTGCACAGAGAAACAGAAGCAAAAGATCTGAAAGTTTGAAGTGTGCAATCGATTGCACTAAAATGTAAATCGATTGCATGCAAGAGAAAAATGAAATTTTATCTTTGAAAAACTTGAGTAATGATTTTTAAACATTTCTTTTTCATTTTTGAGCATCTATATCTTAAGATCAAAGTAGATAATATTATTATACCTTTAAAGTTGTTGAGAGCTTTGAATGAAGATATTTACCTTAGATGCTTTGAGCTTGATCAAAAAATCTTTGCCTTCTTTATTAGCCATGGTTTGTTTTCATCAAAACAAAAGCTTATTTGTGAAGCTTGATTTTGTAAGAAGTAATACCCCGTATTCCCTTAAATACTCTTATATTGTCAGTTGAGATAAACTGAGTTCCTAAGCGCTCTATTAGTTGTCAGTTGATATCAATTGGGACAAATAAAGTAATTAATAATCTCAAAAGATATCAATTCTTACTCAATTGTCTTAAAGTTTGCTAATTATTGGAAGAGTATTTTGTTACTAGCAAATTAAGTGATATTTATTACTAGAAGATATAACATTTGCCCTAGTGTTATCTTGTCTTTTACCTCATGCTGTTTCATTTTCTATCCATTGGCTAGTAAGAGAAAGAGGAGAAAGAACAGGAAGAAGAGAAAGAGAAAAAAGAAGAGAAAAGAGGAAAAACTTAGATCATCAAGAAACAAACTAAATCCTTCATCATCTTCACTTGGTAGAGGTGGGTTCCTATCTAGTGTTAGCTTTGAGGGAAAATTTCATGTTTTAGGGAGTTAAGGTTTGTGTTAAAATGTGTTAAAATATGTTATATGTGAGTCTTTTGTCTCTTAAATGACGTTCTTGATGTTTTACATGTTTTGCTTGATTAACCATTCTACTTTGTGTTAACTAATGCATTAGAATCACATGTGTTGGCTTGGGTTCTTTTCCTCCCTCCTTTGGTAAACAACCGCTGATCTCCAAAAAAGATAAGGTTTTTAGTTTACTTACGAGATCGACCAAACTAATCCCAGAACATATGCTAATCTTTATGTAAAATGTGTAAGAAGGAAGAACGCACGTTCGACCCAGAGAAAGGATGTTTGAGATTGTTGAAAAGTAAGCAAAAGCATAAAAATACGAGTAAAAGAAGTAAAAGGATAATGGTAAAATAATATAAAGAGACTTTCATTAAGTAAAAAAGGTGTTTCTAACGTACATTGCTCAGCTTTTTATCCTTTCTCACGCAGTAGTTACTTGGATAATATTTGAGAGATTTAGTACAATAGGTTGAACACCCTTAAAAATTACACAAGCTTCTTAATTTATACTAAAAGTAGGTAACCGTCGAGGGGACATTCCGCGCTAGGATGAAGACAAGTGTCTTCTGCATGTTCCTCGACCCACAGCTTTTTGCCACATTGTCTCTTCTCAGACGCTGATGAAAAACTGTCTTTCCCTCCAATAATTCAAATTTCAAATGGTCTTCGATTCCTATATCAAAGCGTGAACACTTTCCTTTAGTCGAGCAACCTAGATCTGCTTCAGTCGAATGAACCTTTGGTCGAAGACTCTTATCAAAACTTAGATCCTTTTTCCTAAGTTATCTCATGTGTCGAATCATACCTCCTGGCTTAGTTCATTTCCAATTGTTTGGTCAAAAAGGCTAAATATAATAAGTGTCGAATTTGGAAGCCAACAGGCATACTAGTTTTGAAAATATTAAAATTGTATAAGTTGGGGTTCAAACTCATATGCATAAGCATTTTCTTCTCGGTGTTTTAAAAATCGAAGAATAAATGGATTCACTTTCAAAGTAAAATGTTTTTTTAGTAGTGTTTCTTTTTTGTCACAGATGATAACAATATAGATAATTAAAAATATATACAAATAATATAAATGCATGACAATTAAAAAACTGAGAATTTTATTAAGGGAAAACATTTAGTCACACACAAGACATGTTTCCTCAAATAAAATAAGAAAATTACATATGGTATGATTATATGCTAACACAGTTGAAATATAAATAGTTGTAGGCTTTTATTGAAAGGAACACAACTTTTCAAGCATGGTACTTCAATGGAACACTTGGGATAGATTTTTTTCTTCCACTCAAACTGATTAATGGATCGGCTTAACAATTGGAGTCAGCTTTGGAATACCCTTGTAAGTGGGAACATAAACAGGTTTCACAATTGGAACATAAACAGGTTTAACAATGGGAACATAAACAGGTTTAACAATGGGAACAATAGGCTTTTTGAAGAAATAATGCTTATGCTTAAGAAATGTCTCTGGCTCAACAACAGAAGGGATAGGTTTTTTCACTATGATTGGTTTTTGGAATGGCTTATAATAAATTGGTTTCTTGTGAAAATATCCTTTGAGTTTGTGTTTTAGATGAAAAAATCCTTTGAATTTTTCATCTTCATTGGGCCCTTCTAGGCTTGGCTTTGTCACCTCTTCATTTGCATGCTTCACTTCATTCCCTACACAAGAAATGCAAAATTACTATCAAGTCATATGTTAATATCATAAATTTCTATTTACTCTTTTTACCAAATATGGTTGAAATATGAATGTATGAGACTAAGGATAAACAAAAAAAAACTGAATCTATGACTATGTACATTAATGTGTAAATATGAAAAAGAACAAACCTGAAGGATCATTTCTTCCTAAAACAGAAGTAGCATAAAAGAATGTTACTAGAAGCAACAAAGGAATAAAGAAAGCCTTTCTCATGATTGAAAAATTGAACAAAAGTTGTTTAGAAGTGGAAATGTTTGAAGACTTAGCTTGAGTTACAATTCTCACAAGCATGCAATATTTATACTCTAAGCTAGTATAGAGGATAGTTAATGATACATAAGTGATTATTGGTGGATGTTAATTGTGTTTATCACCGTTTTTGTGGCTGAGTTAGTTGTTTTTATGATTCAATTAAATGAGCCTCTAAAGTTGGATGGTAGGATGAGTTAGTTAGGGAAGGTTCAAACACTCTATTAATTGTAAAATATGTCTTGTGTTAATAAATAAAAGTTGTGAAAGAACCTTAATGGTCATTATTTTGAAACTGAGTGAATAGTAACAAACCAAAGTCTTGTATGACCTCGTTAATTCTATACTTGTGTAACCAAATTCTCGTGAAACTTGTAAATTTATCGGTTTACTGTTATTATTATGCTAAGAAGATCTTTAATCGTGCAATCCATATTTCAAATTTTTGAGGATTTTATTAAGTCAAGGAACTCATGCAATTTTGGTTCCATGATTGAAAATATTGGGTGCTTTGGTGATGTGGTTGTTGATGGTAAGTTGAGTTGGTTGGGTCATAGTCTTCGGAAAATCTCAGATCAGAGCTAATGTTAGATGTTGAGGGGCTCATATTGGAATATAGAGAAGACTGGAATTGTGCGTGGGGCATGCGTGTGTATTGGTATTGTGATTGAAATTGTGGTTGAGTGTGGGGCATATGGGGTATTGGTATTGAGGTGGTGATTGTGGTTGGTTCTGGGGCATGTGGTGTATTCGTATTATGGGGGTGATTGTGGTTAGGTGGTTGTGGATCTGTTTCGTCGGGGAGGTTGATGTGTGTTGTGTTTATTGTTGGGGAAATGAGGATTGTGTCCATTGTGTTCGTGGGTCAACCAAATAGCTTGGATGAGACACATGCATTTCTAGGTTACTAACCGATATGTACCAAGCTAAATATTGACCCGTGTGTCGCATATTACCATGGTTGAGGAAAACTGAGAATTGCAAGACATGTCGGTGACGCCTCTGCAACATCTTACACCATTCTGGAGAAAAATCTTTCCAGTTGGTAAGACCCCATTGGGCGTCGACCCTTTTGAGATGCCACGGGGACAAACAAGTTGGATCGCAGGGTATCTCTTGATAAACTGCATCTTGACACGGTCGTTGTGGTGCATCTCCACAATATTGAACCATATGATTGCAGTCTTTACCCTCCAAAATTTCTGCATCCTTTGAGTTTGGTTCATGGTCCAAACCCAAATATGGTCTCCAGATAAACCGTGGATAAAATTAAATCAGCTTAATGAAAACGTAATAAATAAATAATTTAAAGGTAGAATAGTTCAAAGGTATGACGTACATCATCGGGGTCAAGGTGATCCAATAGATTGCGATATAAAGCGACATTAAATCTTGGATTCTTGCCGTAATCCATACTCGTCATGGAGTACGTAAAGGAATTGAAAATAGTTTATTTTTATCATATATTTCGTGAACATATTAATAATAAATGATATTAGTTATTGACTTACTTTGTTGCGTATGGGAAAACAAATGCATTGTTGTTGACGGGGTTTAGGGACTCCATTCTCCACCAATCTCAAGCTTGAAGTATGAAAGCGCTTTCATAAAAATTAAAAATAAATAGATAAAATTGTCAAATTAAAAATAAATAAATAAAATTGTCAAAGAAAAATTATGAATTTCATAAAGAAATAAATCATGTTTTCAAATTAAATTGAATATAAATGTTTTTTAATAATACAATTTATAAATGAAAGTATTTTAAAAATAACTAAAATATGACACAAAAATAACTAGAAGAGAATTGATTCCGCTTCTACACTACACAAGTTCTATTGAATAATAACAAGACACTCCAAAAGACTCTGAAGTGTAAGCCCTGCTATTTGAGAGGTGGTGACAGTGTTTCAAAGACTGGACTGGATTGGCCAGTCGAATTGGAAATTGGAATGGTCATCAGTCTGATTAGATTGTAGGATTGGATAAGTTATTAAGTCAGTGAGATCCAGCCATAATCGATTAAATCGTTAAAAACCAGCAAATCAACGATTTTAAAAAATTGACGGATTAAATATTTATTTTTTTGTCAGACAAAACAACATTGTTTAAATATTTAAAAATAAAAATAAAATTTAAGTATAAGTAGACTTTGTTATAATTTATTTGGATCAACATTCACTCTTTAGAATTATATTTATTAGACACTATTTATTTTGTTATTTAGTTTATGTTGTAGTTAGCCTTTATTCAAAATTTATTTTGGTTTGTATTTTATACTATTTTGTTGTGTGCGATGATTATATTTTAATTTGAATTTATAGATTAAACTTATAAAATTATGATATTTTGAAATTTTGAAATTCGATAGGTTTCATGATTTTTTTAGAGATCAAGTCATCTGATTCGACTCTTTTATTAATTATGTAATTTTGTTAGAGAGGTTGATTTATTAAAAAGAGTTATCCGGTTTATTTAATTGAATCATCCAATTTAATTCGATTTAGTCACGTGGTTAAACCAATGACTCAATAATTCAACAAATAAACCAGTGATCCACTCTTATCGATTTGATGACCGGTCCAATTTTAAAATATATATTTATAAATATTTGGTGTGGCTATAGCCACGGTGAGCCTTAACGTACATTCGCCCATAATTGCTAGTAAGAGACTCGTGCGTTCTCACATGTTGTTCAATGTTGTTATGAACAGTAAATAAATATAATATATTTATGATTAAGAAATGTACATAAAAATTTATAAATTAAAAAAATATTTCAAATTATAATTTTTAAATAAATATTAATTTAATTTAGAAGATATTGATGTTTTGTCAAGATATATATTAAAATTATGATAATTGAATTAAAAATCATCTTAAAAAAAGTAGAGATATTCAAAAAAATATATAATATATATGAATATATAATAAATATATGATATAGGCAGTTAACTTTATTAGATTTGGGATAGATACTATAGTATTTTGCCCAAATTCTAGTCATTATCACCCCCCTACATTTTAATATAAGCCCTCGTAATCTTTTCTACATATTTTAAATAAAGAAAAGTTAATAAATTTAATAAATATATATTTTTAAATATTTCATTTATATATTAATATGTGCAATTTTTAATTTGCATATTCTTAATAACAAATTAAAATATAATATAAAATATTAAATTGTCTCAGACATGTCTGGTTTACTTTCTTATTTCGTAGGGTGAGTCTATATTTGATGGTTAATAAATTTAATATAATTATTTTATTAAAAAAAATAGATTATCTTGCCAACATAACTTATAACTCGTTTGCACTTTTAAATATATAATATAAGTGATTAACTTTATTTGATTTGAGAACATACTATAATATTTGCCCAAATACTGTTATTGTCATCCCTATTTTTTTTATTATAAGCACTCATAATCTTTTTTATATATTGGTTTAATTAGTCTTTTGGTCCTTATAACTTGTCGTGTTTTTTATTTTCATTCCTGTATCTTTTTTCTTGAAAATGATCCTTGAATGTTAAAATATTTTTTATTTTAGTTATTAAAGTTAAAATCCACAGGATAATTCGAAGAAAAATCCGTAGAAAACACTATGTCAAAAAAGACTTACGAAAGCGCTTTTTTTGGCCTTTAAAAGCGCTTTCTAAGGTGGCGCTGCTATAGGTTTTAGCAGCGCTTTTTGTTTAATGAAAAGCGCTTTCGTAGGTCTACCTAATACAACACTTTTTCTAAAAAGCGCTCTCTTAAGTAGGCTTTTGGCAGCACTTTTTTATGAAGAAGCGCTTTCATAGGTCTACCTAAGGCAGCGCTTTTTTTTGGAAAAGCGCTCTCATAAGATTTCTTTTAGCAGCGCTTTTTTCTGGAAAAACGTTGTCTTAGGTAGGCTTTTATCAATGCTTTTTTCTGGAACAATCAACAAATACTGTTGGGATCTAAAACAAATAGAATCAATGTTTTTTACAAATGAATCTCAGAATGTATAGAAAATAAATCAAATCTTACAGAACAAATAAAATAAAATCAATACATTATAGAATCGAATCAATTACAAACGATTTCAACCCCTAATTTTCCTAATCACTCTAAATCTAAGCTCTAATCAAACTTGTAACGATGTTTTGCAAAATCTGAAACCCTAAGCCCTATAAATAGCTAAAGAAGAATACAGAAAAGTGGGGAAGATTTGAAGACGGAGCAGAAAAGAAGAAAAAACTTAGAGGAATACGGAGCCTTGCTGTTGAAAAGGAGAAAATATGATTTAGGGTTTCAATATCTGAAACCCTAAATCGCGCCGCCGTCAACCTCCCTTAAACGCATCTCCGAGCGGCCGTTACATCACCTTCGAAGGCCATCACCTCCCTTGACCTGCAAATTGAAAAGAAATAAGAAGATAAGAACCAGAAACATAACATATCAGAACAATCGCGATCAGAGGTAAACGAAACTTAGCTTTTTGATTTCTGCGTTTTGCTGTTATTATTTAGGGATGGTTAAGTTTTAAGTTTATAGTCGGGGGAAGGATCGGGTTAGAGCGCCGCTGCGGGGTTGGTTTTAGAGTTTGATGTTAGATGATAAAGGAAGAAGGTGGAGTAGAGAGAGAGAGAGAGAGAGAGAGAGAGAGAGAGAGAGAGAGAGAGAGAGAGAGAGAGAGAGAGAGAGAGAGAGAGAGAGAGAGAGAGAACGATAATGGTTAATGAACGAATGAACAAAAATGAAAATATAAAATGTATAAAAGTGATATATCATCCCTACGATTTTATGTGAGAATAGAAAAGTGATACAAATTGTGTTTTGATATTTATTATAAAACTACCTACGAAAGCGCTTTTAAAAGCGCTTTCTAAAGGTCATCTATAACAGCGCTTTTACATCAAAAAGCGCTTTCGTAGCATATCCTATAACAGCGCTTTTAAAAGCACTTTCTAAAGGCCAGCTTTAGCAGCGCTTTGGAAAAGCGCTTTCTAAAGCTGATCTTTAGCAGCGCTTTTGAAAAGCGCTTTCTTAAGGTACCCTCTGAAAGGCCAG